GCGACAACATCACAAACATCAGACGTCCATTTGGACTCCTACGAGATAACCTGCTTAACTGCGGCGATCGAATCTACCAGCTAGTCTGTAACGGCAACTTCACTTACCTTCGTTAACCTGATGGACAATACCGGGTGCTGCGAATAAACTACAACAACTACACAATCCGACTCTTAGATGAAGGCATCCAGGAGGGTACTAGCCCCTCCCTCCCTCTCGATCCCTTATCCCTATCCAATTTCCTCTCTTCCGTGTCTCCTCAGAGGTCTTATAAAGATAGCAGGAATCCCTATAGCGCTAGTACCCTAAACAGCAACAGAACTGAATCTATGTTAAGCAAGAAGGCGGGGTACCTAAATTGCAGCGATGCAGTGAGGGACGACGCAGCGTACGTGGATACGCCTCTGCAGTTAAAAATCTTCAATACTGCAGTAGAAGTTTGTAGAGTTACAGAAAGCAACCTACAACAACAGAATATGAATGAGAGCCATAAACCGTTGAGGATGATCCCTCCTAAGGGATCCTGGAATAGAAAACGAGACATAAGGCCTTGGGAAAAGAAGAGGTTTCAAAAAGATGGCCAAAGAAGTCAAAAGATAAAAAGGAACAATGAATTGCGGGAATGCCCACAGTGTGGCAGGATCCATAATGGGAGGCCATGTTTAGCTGGAAAGAATGTTTGTTATAGATGTGGAAAGCCTGGGCATTATGCTAAATAATGCGGACAGGAAGTAGAAGAGACTCATTTTCAAAGCCCAGGAAGACTCTTTGCACTAACACACGAACAGCCTCAACAACCCTTAAAGATGACACCAGGTAGCCTTATCTTTTGACTAATGCCTTATATAGGTTATGATTAGTTCTAGTGTGAGATATTCCTTACATGTTAGACATGTCATTTGATTGCATTTACTCCAACAAGAGTAGAAATTGTTACTACCCTTGCGTGTTTGAACAGGGTAATAATAAATAAGCAGTATAGCACAGTTATAGACCCTAATTGTTTGTTATGTGGGAATATAGTTTTAGTAATAGGGTCACAACAGATACTAGTAATGATAAATTAATTTACCTAGAATAGAAGATTCTGGTTTTTACATATATTGTAAAAGATTTTCAGAATTCTTCCTCGTAACGCTATGCTGTTAATAAAGCTAACCAGGAAGAATTTGTTATATTGTGTAATGATAAGTGTGAGGTCAATTCCTAGTTTTAAAGAAGGGGCTTAAGTCCACTCCAGATCTTGATATCCCTGTTCCTCAATAGACATGTGTGGTCTACTGAAATATTAGTAAAGGTGGATTGGGATGTGTCTGGTTGAAGCGGGACCGAGTGGCAGTATATGCCTCAGGATAGTATAAATCTCAAAAAAAATAAAATAAAATAAAATCCTATGCATAATTTAGAGCTAGTTGTGATAAGGCGTGTCTAGAAAATATGAGGGTTTAAAAATTTTGAGGATGAAATTTATTCCACGGGAAGAGAATTGTAACAGCCTAAATTTTGAAGCTAGAAATTTATAAAATGTTTGAGAGGGATAAATATTTAGTTAAGGCTTCAGAAAAATAAAGAAGGAATAATTATTAAAAATATATTAGTGACCTAAAATAGCTAAGGAAAAATTATAGATGACTATTTTGGGAGATAAATGTGTTTATGGATGAATAAAAGGGTAGAGATAATTTAAGATCTATTTTCCTAAATAAAAGGCTTATTTTCTTGAGAAATTCAAGAAAAATAGTTATAGGTTAATTTTCAGCCTGCAAAATTTAGGAAAGTTATTTAGTAGGCTAAAGAAGCTAAAAAGAAAGAAAACTTCTCCAAAATGCTAAAGATCAATTTTAAAATTTATTTATGATTGAAGAAAAAATTTAAAAAAGGGTAGAATTGAGATAAGAGTTATTTGTGAAGGCAAAAATAACTTTTGGCCTTTTACCCCAATTATACGTGTCTTTCCCCTCCATGGTCATTCCCAAATTCTTACCTTCGTGTTGCGTTCTCTGTCTCCTTTTCACTACCTTCAGCCACCTGTCCCCTTGCATCAGATTTCCTTCAACACGCTTCCCTTCTTTTTGTTAGACAAGAATCGTATCCGATAAGCCTGATGGTGTATATTAGAGTGAGAGTCTAAGAGACAGTGGGAGGCCGATTGAGAGATTGAGAAAGAGAGAGAGAGATTGAGAGAAGAGGAATCAAAGTGTGCAGCGGAGGGGAGAAGAGTAGCCGAATTCTACATGCAACACTAGAGTCTAACCAAGGTAAGCCGTTCAGCCTCTTCCCATCCTTGATTTCTTCAATTAGAGTGGTCTGAGTTGGGAAAGGGCCATGGGATTCTAGGTGTTGTTTTGGGGGCATTAGAGACGATTAAAACTAGAGGAAAATAATATACCGAGTAAACTTAAGAAAAGATTTGAACACTGATGGTAGATGTCATTCAAATTCTGTGTCATATTGCCGAGATTGAAGCCTTATGTTCTTTTTTTTTTAAACTGTCTTGGTATTTAGTCGTAGCAAGGATGCCCCTGTTTGATCTTCTGCGGTGTCCAAGTTGCTGAAACTGAAATTGCATTCTTGAATACTTTGAATGATTGCTAATTGAAATCTGGGCTCATCTATGTTCTCAGATTGCATGTGAATTTAAACTAATATACATGTCTATGTTGCAACTTGCCACTTTCTGAACTAGTGTATACATGTATATATATTATATATGTAAGTATTTTGAAAGTTGAAAATATAGCAGAATGTACTGTCTTTGTTGTTGTTTGTGTGCGCGCGCCATCACCTTCAATTCAAGTAAGCGTGGGAATAAGAACTATTTATGTGTATGGTTGTGTGATTTGGATACATGAAGCTGGAGTATTTTTATACAACTTTTAAAATGCTGCCGTTAACCTCTAGATCTTCATGTCATTTCAGCACATTTTTCTTATGCTTTTGATACTTTTTGGTGCATTAGTGTTTACTTTCATACTCAAGGAAAGCAAAATGTGCATGATGTTTTTGGTTTGCACATTATTGCTTAAGTGTGCATATTTTGGTTTTAATCTTTGCTATTTAAGAGCTTATAGAGTTATTCTTTTGCAAGGTATATTTTGATCTAGAAATTAAATGTCAAGCCACTTTGGAAGTCTTTCAAAGAGTTTGAGGATCTAGGTTGTGTCATGAAGGCATTATGAGGACAAAGATTATTTGAGGACAAAGATTATTAGAATCCACAACATTGAAAGAGATCCTTGTTTGATGTAGAAGAGTTTAATTGCTCTCTGACTTGGCTACAGCCTAACTGAAACAGAGGCAAAGTTGGTCACAACGCAGAAAATTTAGGCTGTGGCGCACTCGTTGATAGTAAAACGCACAGCTCAACTAAGCCTGAAAATTTTAGGTTTTAAGACCACATTTTCGACCTTGGACGGTATTCTGGACTCTTTGGGCATTCTTGGGAGCTTTGTGTGCTAGGGTTTAGGTGTTTGAAGAGCTGGAAGCAAGGGATTGAGCTTTGGAAGAGACTTAAAGCTTATTCTTCTTGGTTTTTCTATTTCTCCTCTATTCCCTCTCTTGTAATCTGTTATAGCTATGAATTTCCTTTATATTTATGGCTTGTGGCTAACTATGAGTAGCTAAATACTTTGTTCTAAGATTATTTTGAACCCTTGTATGGATTAACTCTTGATTACTCCTCTCTTTTTGGGATTAATATAATGATATATGTGTGTTTATTTTACTCTTTTCTTAATGCTTCTAAATGCTTGATCACCATTTAGTTGATTTGTTCATTTGATTTATACTTGAGAAGGTTAGGTTAAGTGTAGAACTTGGATAAAATTGTGCAAGAATTTGAAGTTTGCTTGTTGAATGGATAGTTTTGTTGGTAAGATAGAGATATACTTACTGACCTTGCATAGTCACCTTAGGATTGAAGCTTAAAAATTGGGTTTTATTAATTATAACAAGAGATTAAGCAATTAATGGAATTAAATACTTGTGCTTGACTTGGGAAAGCTTTTACAAGTACTTTTTGACTCCTAGACTAACGCATATTTTCATTAAGAACATTTATGAGAGGAGATCATTCAAAGGTTATGAAATACAAGGGGTATGAATAATCCTAGGCCCTTTTTCCCTTGAAGTTTAAGAATGAATCACTTTTATTACTTTCTAGTTTTAAAAGTTACTTTTAAAATTCACTTTTCCCATCAAAAGAATTGGTTGGCTCAACTTAATTAAATTCACTTAGCCTTTTATTTGGTCTTGATTTTTGCACAAATCTCTGTGGGAACAATCTTTTCTCATCACTTTATTACTTGTCACGACCCATGCACTTATGGTGTGAACAAGTTTTTGGCACTATTGCTGGGGATTTGGTGTCAAGAGTCTCGTAGACAACCTTAGGCTACTGTTAGTAAATTTTGCTTGAGCCTGTAGATATATACAAAATTACTAATCATAACTTTTTATCTATCTGTTTTGTTTTTGTTTTCGTTTGATACTTGCTTGGTTATTTTTTTGCTAGATACTATTCTAGCGTTTGTAATCTTCAGATCTGGACAGTTTGGAAGTGGAATTGCACGGAATTGATCCTTTTGATGAAGACACTGAACTTGAAACCATGGCTGAAGATGAATATGATAGGGCTACGGTCAATGACTTTGCAAGCTGAAGCATGAGGGGTACCCAATCTTGTATTCGGATAATGGAAATCCAAGCACATACATTTGAGATAAAACCGGCTGTGATCACAATGCTTTAATTACATAGGATGTTCCATGGTCTTTATAATGAAGATGCCAACAAGCACTTAATGTATTTCCTAGAAGTGTGTGACTCTTTCAAACAGAATGGGGTATCCAAGGAGGTCTTTAGACTCCAGTTATTCCCTTTTACTCTTTAAGGGAAAGCTAAAGAATGATTCAACAATCTTCCAGAAGGATCTATTAGCTCTTGGAATGAGCTTGAAAGCAAATTTAGGGCTCGATTCTTTTCTGATGATAAATCTATGGAAACTAGGGATGAATTTTTGAGCTTTAGACAACATCCAGATGAGCATCTTTATGCTGCTTGGGAGAGATACAAGATGTTGATGAAGCAATGCCCTAATCATGGGGTAGAGTCTAAATCTTTTGCAACCGCCTTAATCCTTAATCTAAGGCACTGCTTGATTCCATAACTAATGGAGGATACCATAATATTCCTATCAATAAGGTGATTAAACTCTTAGATCAACTAGCAGCAAATAATACTCAAATCACTGAAAGGCAGACTACACAAGCAATGACTACTGCTAAGGATGATTCTGCCTCACAAATTGTAGCTATCTTATTAGCAATGAACAAGCGGTTTGATGTGCTAGAGTCCTAGATGCAAAAGAGCAATTTTCAAAGTGTGCATTCTGTTCATGGCACACCTATTGTTTGTGAGCAATGTCATGGTGTTTATATGCCTGACCAATGTCCTCTCTACATGACTCCTGAATCTGTCAATTACATGGGCAAGTTGCAAAATCCTTAGAACAACCTTACTCACAAACCTACAATCTGGCATGGTGAACCTAATTTCTCTTGGAGTCAAGGGCAAAAATTAAATCATCCGTCATCTTCTGGTACTAAACCACTTTATCCACCAAGTTTTCAATCACAATCAAGGCAAATTCCTAACAAGGAAGAAGATTCTAAGATGGAGAGGATGTTAAATCAAATCTGGCTAATCAAGGATCTACAAGAGCTGAGACTAAATCTACTGTTTCCCTTCATGAGACTACAATTAAAAATCTTGAAGTACAAGTAGGCCAACTAGCCTCTCAAATGAATGCAATGTCAAGAGGAAATCTTCCTAGTGACACCATTCCCAATCCGAAAAGAGATGGTAAAGAGGAATGCAAGTGGAAAGCAATTATTGAATGTGCTTAAACCTAGTGGAGTGAGCAATGAAGTTGTTCTTGAGCAAAATGAGGAAGTTGATGAATAAATTATAGTTGAAGAGGATGACAGCAAAACGAAGAAGCAAGCTAAGAAGAGAAATGATAGTGAAGTCAAAAAGGACAGTGAAGATCACAAGAAGCAACATGAGGCTAAGTCAAAATATATGCCTCCATCGCCTTTCCCTTAAAGGATTGTGAAACAACAAGATGACAGCCGATTCAAGAAATTCTTGGAGATATTCAAACAATTGCACATCAATATTCCTTTAGTGGAAGCTTGGGAGCAGATGCCCAAATATGCCAAATTCATGAAAGATGTGCTTTCTAAGAAAAGAAGGTTCACTAAGTTTGAGATAGTTGCTCTCACCAAGAGTTCTACAGATATCATCAAGTAACTACCTCAAAAGATGAAAGATCCCAGTAGCTTTTCAATTCCATGTCATATTGGAAACAAGTTTGTGGATAAGGCACTTTGCGATCTTGGAGCTAGTGTCAATTTGATACCTCTTTCTATTTTCAACAATTTGGAGTTGGTTAAGGCTAGACCTACAACTGTGTCTTTGCAATTTGTCGATAGGAGTATAGCTTACCCCCATGGCATTATTGAAGATATGCTTGTGAAGGTAGATAAGTTTATTTCTCTAGCAGATTTCATTGTTCTTGATTGTGAGGTAGATAGAGAAATTCCTATTATCTTGGAAAGACCCTTTTTGGCAACTGCTAGAACCTTGATTGATATGGAAAAAGATGAACTTACTATGCGGGTTAATGATGAGCATGTGACTTTCAATATGCACAAGTTAATGAAGTCTCCCAATGAGGTTGAGCAATGCTTCTTTGTTGATGTACTTGAGCAAGTGGTATAAGAAGAGTTCGACAAGACATGTATTAATGACCCTGTTAAAGCTGTGTTGTTGGGGTTTGAAGTAGAAAATCAAGAGATAACAAAGTGCATGGTGATCATGGATTCAACACTGACTTATCCTAGAATTCGAGTACTATTTGAGTCACTAGACCTGTCCTCCCATGATAGACCAACTTTGGAATCCTCTCTTGAAAAGCCACCTTCTCTTGAGCTGAAGACATTACTTTCTCACCTTCGATATGTCTATTTGGGAGCCAAGAGTACTCTACCTATCATAATTGCTGTAGACTTGACTATTTAACAAGAAGAACGACTTGTAGAAGTTTTAAAAGCTCATAAAAGAGCTATTGGGCAGACTATTGCAGACATCAAGGGTATTAGCCCTTTAACTTGCATGCATAAGATCTTTCTTGAAGACAACCATAAGTCCTTTATTGAGCATCAAAGAAGATTGAACCCAATTATGAAGGAACCGGTAAAGAAGGAAATCCTAAAGTGGCTTGATGCAGGCATTGTGTATCCTATATCTGACAGCTTATAAGTAAGTCTAGTCCAATGCGCCCCCAAAAAGGGCGGTATGACTATAGTGGCTAACACCCACAATGAGCTAATCCCTACTCGTACTGTAACTGCCTGGAGAGTTTGCATGGATTATCACAAGTTAAATGCTGCCACCAGGATGGATCATTTTCCTCTTCCACTTATTGATCAAATGCTAGATAAATTAGCTGGCAAGGGATTTTTTTGTTTTCTGGATGGGTATTTTGGATACAACCAAATTGCTGTTACTCCAGAAGATCAAGAAAAGACTACATTCACCTGTCCATATGGGACTTTTGCGTTTAAGCGTATGCCTTTTTAGTCTATGCAATACACTAGCCACTTTTCAAAGGTGTATGATGGCTATCTTCTCTAACATGATTGAGCATATGATGGAAGTCTTCATGGATGACTTTTCTGTATTTGGGAATTCTTATGATGAGTGTCTGAACAACTTGGCTAACGTGTTGGAACGATGTGAAGAGACCAACTTAGTCTTAAAATGGGAGAAATATCACTTTATGGTTAAGGAAGGCATAGTTCTTGGCCATAGAGTCTCCAAGAATGGTCTAGAGGTAGACAAAGTAAAGATTGCTGTAATTGAGCAACTTCCTCCACCTATTAATGTTAAGGGTGTGAGGAGATTTCTTGGCCATACGGGCTTCTACCGTCGTTTTATCAAGGATTTCTCCAAGATAGCAAAGCCCTTTGTGCATTACTTGAGAAAGACACTAAATTCAAGTTTGATGATACTTGCTTAAATGCATTTGCAGAATTAAAGAAGAGACTTGTTTCTGCTCCTATAATGATGTCCCTTGATTGGAGCTTGCCATTCATTATAATGTGTGACGCTAGTGACTATGCTGTGGGTGCTTGTTCACCGATTAACTCAACCGCAAGTGGACGGATCGCAAGTAATATAAAAAGTATCATTCCCTCAGAGACTAAGGCTAGATGAGTTGAAAATCATAATTATGTTCTTGATTAGGTTAAGTGAAACAATTATTGTAAAAGAGTTTGTGAAATGAAATTAGGACAACAATGGTTTAAAGCAGTATAAAATCAACTTGACTTTGAAACAATTAAGAGACTAGGGTTATTCTTCACTAAAATACTTCATGAAACTGGATTAATCACTTCTCAAGTAGTGCTTTACAATAAGTTCAGTTAGCCGGGGTTTGCAGAATTGATTAGGCCTTCTCAAGTCAAAACCAAATGTCTGCAATCACAATCAAAACACAATAATCTCTTGCATTTGTTTGAAAAGGTTGCACTTTAAAAAACAAAACTCATTTAGTCTATGCTAGGTCAATAGATACATCTCTATTCTATCAATAAACCGCCTATTTACTCAGTTAAATTTCCGGATTAGCATGTTTTTACCAAAATTCATAGACTAACTTAACTTTCTCAAGTTAAACTAATCAAACAATCATTCCAAATGATGGCCAGACATAAGGAAGCATTAAGCTCAAAGTAAAAACAACTGAACATTATCATTAACACTCAAGAGATAGTAAAACCAAGTCTCAATCCATACAATAGATCAAAATAACCCTAGAAAAACGGATTTAGTTATACATATTGAGTAAAGGACTACAACTATAAGAGTAGCTAGTAGTCATAGCAGAAACAAGAAGGGAAGAAGAAGAAAACCCAGAAAAATCGAGGTAAAAAATTCTAGCTTCAAGCCCAAAGATTCCAAGCCTCTAAAGCTCCAAACCCTAACAGAGCCAGCCTCCAAAATCGCTCCAAAGTCCAAGTATATCAGAAAAACCGAGTATCCCCCTCTATATGCCCTAATTTTTTAAGTTACATCATAAAACGTACAGCTGCGAGGAGTCAGGCACTGTGATGGATTACATAGAATGGCTTTTCTTTAAGGCTTAGGCGCTGCGGTGCATGCGATAATCAGCTGTGACGGATTACACTGAATAGGATTCCTCCAAGACAGCGTGGGCGCTGCGGCGGATTCGGTCAGGTGCCGTGGCGCCTTTTACAGAAATGTACTCTTTCCTGTCTGTTCGAGCCATCGTGGCATTTTCTCCCATAAGCCGCGGTGGATGACCTCTTTTTAGCTCTCCACTTCTGGTCTCGATTCCTTACTCACCTCAAGCTTTTTTCCCCTACAAAATTGACTTTCAAACTAAATAAAAGAGTGCTAAAACAGCTTAAATAAGTAGGAATTTTGAGAGGTTATCAGTGCTGAACTCGGGCAAAAGAAGGATAAAGTGTTTCACCCAATTTACTATGCGAGCCGCACACTAGATGATGCTCAAGAAAACTACACCACTACAGAGAAAGAGTTACTTGTTGTGGTGTTTGCTTTTGCGAAGTTTCGATCATATCTTGTGGGAGCGAAAGTCACTGTGTACACTGACCATTCAGCTATAAAATACCTCTTCAGAAAGAAAGACTCAAAAGCAAGATTAATTAGACGAGTGCTTTTGTTGCAAGAGTTTGATTTAGAAATTTTTGATAGAAAGGGCACAGAAAATCAAGTTGCTGATCATTTATCTATATTGAGTACTGATATTCAACTAGAAGTTGACAAAGTGATCAATGAGGCATTTCTTAATGAACAACTTTTCAGTGTTAGCCAGATGACGACTCCTTGGTATGCAAACATTGTTAATAATCTTGTGTGTGGCATCATACCTCATGAGCTGAAGCCTCATCAACGGAGAAAATTTTTGCATGATATTAAGCCATACTTTTGGGAAGAGCCTTATTTGTTTCATCAATGCAGGGATCAACTACTTAGGCTGTGTGTCCTTGAATGTTAACAGTAGGAAATCCTAAAATGTTGCCATTCTTCAAAGTATGGAGGGCATTTCGAAGGTAATAAGACAGCTGCCAAAGTCTTACAATGTGGTTTCTACTGGCCTTCCTTGTTCAGAGACTCTTATAATTTTACGTTGAAGTGTGATCAATGCTAGAGAGTAGGCAATATCTCTAGAAGGAATGAAATGCCACTTAGTAATATGCTTGAAGTGGAATTATTTGATGTATGGGGGATAGAATTTATGGGACCATTTCCTAAGTCCTTCAACAATCAATATATTCTTGTGGCAGTTGATTATGTCTCAAGGTGGGTTGAAGTGTAACATCCTAGGTCTTATTGGGTTTTAATAGCCTCTTTTGGTTGATTTTGAGGATAGATTAGCGATTTAATCTTGATCTTGGTGTTTGGGTTGGATTTGAGGTATGTTGGAGGAATAGGTGAATGTACCCCTCTCAGGGTATGTTCACCGCGGCCAAGTTTTACTTCGCCGCGGCGCACCGGGAGTTTTAGAGGGGAGTATCTTCTCGGGAAGGTTTGGTCGCGGCGAAGTCATAGGGACGCCACGGCGAAGTTGTTCAGGTGAGCGAGGCTTCCCTTTCGGGAAGGTTTCGCTGCGGCGAAGGCAAGGGCATGCTGCGGCGAAGTTTTTCTGAGTGAGCGAGAGTTTCCTCTCGGGAAGCTTTCGCCGTGGTGAAGTCAGGTGTTCAGGCGAGTAATCCCTGTCGGGATTAGTTCGCCACGGCGAAAGGTCCCGAATCTATATAGTCGCGGGAAGGGTTCAGTGTGCAAAAATTAGAAAATCTGAAGGAGGAGAGAGGAGCTTTGCTAGGGTTTCGAATTTCTGGCTTGGAGGGGGCATTTCTAAGGATCCATTACCTCAAGTAAGTGATTTTAACCTCTAATCTACTTTCTTTCTTGGGATTTCTGAGGATTTTTGGTGGAACCCTAGGATTTTCTAGGTTGTGATGGAACTGAGGTTTTTGACCGATTGTTTTGAGTTTAATTGATTGCTTTGGGTTAGTTTAAGTATTTAATCGGTGTAGTTTTCTTGGATTTAAAGAATCTTGAATTTTTGGAGTTAGGGTTTATGGAAATAGGTGATTTGGGATTGAGGATGACAATGTAGAGATTGATTTTGAGTTTTGTGAATTGGGTTATGTTAAGAAGGGTTAAATTGGATGTTTAATCGGTTTAGATTTGTTGTTGGAACCTTAATTGCTCAAATGGGATGTTTGGGTGTAGAATTCCTATAGTGGGTCCTTGAGGTTATGAATTTTAATTGATGTTTGGAAAGGAAATAAGGTTTTAATGGATTGGTATGATCATAGAGTGTTGCCTTGATAGTTATACCCTTTGAGTTGGGTAGATTTTGGTGGGAGATAGGAATTTTTGTGTCCCCAAGTGTTGTTTTGGCCACATTATTAGTTTGAAAGCTAATATACGTTGGTTGTGTGTTTGTGTGCTTGTGTAGACCGGTTGTGAGTCTTGGTGGTGCACGGGGCCACATTGTCAGTTTGTTATTCCTTGCTCAGGCGAGAGGTAACCACTTTCCAATCCTTAGTACTTGCTTCTGTGGTATTGTGAGTAGATTTGTGTTTTGTGCTCCAAGTAGTAATTATGTTCAAACTATATGTTGTATATAAAAAGGGAAAAAACCCTCTTGTGGGGTTTTGATT